GCTTTACTGCTGGGCCATTTTTACCTCCAGCAAACAACCACCATCAATGACGCATTTTTCTGAAAAATGTGGTTTTATCAGATGCTAGCTGGCTGACCCTGCCTTTTGTTTCAGAAGAGAGATAATTTCTTTTATTAGCCCAAAGGATGTAGTTGGAAGATGAAGCCTGCAGAAGAGGCTTCTTTTTATAAAATGTGCTGACGTAAATAACAGCCTCTGATCACACTTAGCTACTAGCCCTCTCGGCTTTATCATTTGTGCTTTTAGGGGTCCTCATGGCTTCACACAGAGAGGGGTCAGAAGGGTCTGCATGGGGGTTTCTGATGGGAAACTCTGTGTGCATCCAGTAATAACACACACTATTACTGTAATAACATTTCTGCTCAAAGTCAGTCAGGTCCTCAGACTGAGCCTGGATGAGAGACTAATGGGGCGCAAAGTCTGGCTTAAATCCAGGATGTTCAAAAAAATCCGAACGAATACACCTTTGTGTTTAATAGCTGAGAAATCCAATCTGCCTACGCAATTTGCTGATGAAAATACAGGAAGGGCAAGAGTGATGGTGGGTCTCTACCAAGACCCGAGTATTTGTTGTTACTGAGATAATACCAAGGAGTTCAAACCCCCATATCACTGCTTAGTGAAGATCAACATATCACCAGGCAGAAGATGCTATGCTGTATGTACATAAGGAATATCAAAATACACATGGAACAAATGAGATGCACAGGACAGTGGTAGAAAATATACATCTAATGTGAAATTTTCAATGGAAACATGAAAAGTAGGAATAGAAGGAACCTCAAGAGATCTTGTAGTCCATCTGTCACCCTAAAAGACAACAGCTTACCCAAACCAATGCAGAAGGGTATTTAGTAAATCTGTTCTAACATTCCTGGATGGCACCTCCATACCTCTCCAAAAAATCTCCTGCGTGAAAGGAGTCCTCATGCTTCATATTCTGTGGACTTCCAATTATTTTGTTGCTCTCCTTTTGCTGACAGGTCTTTGTGTTCCTTCACAGAAGGTGCCCCACCTGTGGGTTTGGTGCTGAGAAGAACAGGAATGTTACTCCGTGTGTCCTGGGTACAACACTCCTACTCATACTTTCTGACATAGTCTTCACTTTTGGGTTTGATTTTCTTGTTTATTTTAGCAAACCGTGACATTGTTGACTCATGTTTGCCTTGTCATCTCTGGTACTTCCCAAAGCTTTGCTGTAGAGGTGCTGCCTACTCTATTTCTATTTTGAAAAAATAATATAGAAACCCATGTAGATTAATATTATTGCCAGACTAACCAGTTTGATATTAGTGTTTACTGACATAAATCCTCCCATTCCTACCAGCCCAATGATGTGAATTGCATTTCTAGTTTGACATCCATAGTGTCAGGACAGTTCTGAATTTCAGCCTTCTCCCTGTTGTACTTTCAGTCCTTCTGCCTTGTTCTCACTGATGAATTAATAAGCAGTATCCCTATCCAATCACCAGAAGGATGCTGGAGTTACACCAAAAATTTTAAAGAGTCAGGCAGAATAATAAAGAAGACATCGGTCTGGTACATGCATATGGAATACACTGAATAAAGGCCAGATCTTTTAAGCAAAATCAGATCCATGTACCCAAAATGACGTGACAACGACTACATTCAGACCCAAAGAAACCTCTATTTTCTTAAAAGCTCATTAATGAAAAAAGTGAGTAATTGCAAAAAGAAGATAGCTTCCTTCAAATCCCTGTTTGCTTCATCTTTGACAATGAATAATTGATAACTTTTCTTTGAAAAAGTCTTTTTTCCAATGAGTTTTGCCTTCACTTTGTAGTAGTTTCATTTAGATCATTCTCCCCTTTCTTGTTTCTGAATCTGTTACATGAAATGTGTCAAAAGCATAATTACAGTCAAGGCAGATTTAATTTTCTGTTTCCTCCCTGTCAGCGAGGCATGTTACACCGTCTAAAGGAAAAATTAGATTGCTTTGTCACAATTTGTTCCTAAGAAATTCACGGTCACTGCTACTTATTTCCTTGATATGCCATGTGTGCTCCATAAACATTTGGTTTGTCTGTTTCAGTATTTTTCAGGAAATAAATGGTAATCTGACTGGTTTCTAATTCCCTATTGCTTCTTTACCCTTTTCCACCTTTCTGAAGTCAGGCCCTAGGGTTACCTTCTTCCAGCCTGGTTTTCTTTCTCATTTATCTTCTGTTCATTGTTAAAGATATCTGCCAGCAACCTTTGGACTGCTTCTGCCCCTCCCGAAGCACTCTAAGGGGAACGTCATCCTGCCCTGACACTGCCCTTGTAATTTAAACCCATCTGTTTTCTTAACTTTTTCACTTTTTTTTCCCTGTTTCCCCTGATTTCTTGCTTTGCTGCTGATGTTAGACTATTTCAGGGAAAAATAATTTATAATTAAAAAGAAAAAAGTCATGCATGTTCATATCATTCATCATTCAATACGCTTCCCTAGCATTTGAATAACAGAGCAATTCTTACATTAATCTATGTGTCTAACTAAATGCAAATTGCTTTTTGCCTTCCCATTCCTTTCTGTGTTTGCTTTATACGCTCTTGCTCTTTCTTTCTGTAAATCATTACTAGTTTGACCAACCTCAAATGCTCATGTTTTTTTTCTCATGCTAGGAATCACTGCAAAGGTGGTGATTTATGCATGACGATTTTCAGAGACCTTCTTGCTTATTCATTCTACTGATGGGGTCTGGAAAAAAAAAAAAAAAAAGAGTTCTTTTTATCTCACCTTTAATGAACTGCATAGCTTCCCAAAAAATATTCTCCTAGACATTTTCCTCATGAGATATGGCTATCTCAGTTTTACCAAGTCTGCTTTGCTGAAGTCTAGTGCTTTCAACTACAAAAAACAAACAATCAAACAAAAAAAGCAAATAAACCCCCTACAGAGTAAAGATCTTTAAAAAGTTGTAGTTCTGTTTAGTGGCACTGCTTCTTTACTTGAAATAATTACTGTGTACACGACGGGAAATTTAATATTCCTGTACACGCCTGTAGAGTTCTTGTTTGGGCAAAGCCATAAACCTGGACAAAAGTCGAATATCACAGGGGAGTGAGAGGGATTTTGGGACAGGGCTGAGACCAAACAGTTTCTCTTCATCTTGCTACCAAATTCTCCCTCTCTACTTGCAGCTGCCCACCGCCAGCTCCCCATCCCCTGCTGCTCCGGCACGCTGCAGTCCTGGCTGCCACCGCGGCTCTGCTCCTGGTGATCCTTGCGGGACACAGCCTGCCCGAGACTGTGCATCATCCCCTCCACGCTGCCGGTCTCATCCTCAGCTCTGACAACATCCCCAAAGCATTGCTCATCCAACGACCTGGGTCACAGCAGTCTTTTGCAGACCAGCTGCCTTCTCCTTGTCAAGCCATCAGTTTGGGCACAATGTTCTTCAGCCTGCTCACATTTTCCTGGACAACCTGTGTGTGCAGCTTCCACCTGCACTAAACCCCAGCATTTCTGGGATGGAAACCAATCAGATCTGGGAGAAATTGCTGAAAATACTCAACCCTTAGAATCTGTTGTCCTGCAAGGTCTCCAGCGATCACCCCATCCTTTCAGAAAGCGGCACAAACCAAAGCACTACCTCCAACATGGCCAGATTCACTGACCTTCTCCTTCCACACCCCAGAAAATCACCTGCAGAGCCAGGTTTTTCCAGCTCTGCTCCAGCCCGGGGCACTTTGGCTCTTCCACGCGGATGGAAAAGCAGCAGCTCATCTGCAGTTGGAGGCGCGAGGGATGTCGCGTGCTGCACTGCTCCCGCCGCACCGCACCACTGCAGGAGGATGCCCGGGGGGCACCGGCAGTGCTACCCCCCCTGGGACACCCACCCACACTGCTCAGACTGCTGCAGACATGCTCGCTGCCCTTACATCTTCCTCTCGCCTGCAGCAAACCTTTCTTTGACATCTCCGCTGCACTGCCATTTCCCTGAATATCTTGACATTTCTGAAGGAGTCAGCGTGCAAAAGCAGCCCCCGTTTTCCCGACTCCCACGTCCACCTCATCCCAATGCTCGCTTGCTGCCTGGCTGCCCTCCTGAGACACAGTCTTACTGCCTGGAATGGGGATTTTTTTTTTTTCTTTTCATCTGAGCTCACTGTCAAAACACTGCCCAGCTTGAGCCTGGCTGCTGGCTCAGGGATTTTCCAGGCTGGGATTTTCACAGCCTGTTTGGTGGCTGTGTTCAGGGTGCCCCAATGCAGCGGACCAGGGTGGACCCACACTGACAGCATGGATTGCTCAGACCTGTTTCTACAGACAGCAGCTCAGGGACCCCACTACAGTGGGTCTCTCTGGAAGCTGTTCCCAACCCTTGGTCTCTCCTATACCCATCTCCCATCTCCCAGACCCCTGGTCCCTCTGATCCAGACCTCAGACCCCAAAACCCAGACCCCTCACCCTCTATGCTCCCTGCTTTGGCCAGAAGTTCACTGGTGGATTGCACACAGCCGCAAACACACACATTCCTTTAATAATCCCTTAATAATTCCTGCTGCCAGCCCTTCCACTAAACATCCCATGACAAATCCTCTACAGTTCCATAATTCTCTTTTTCAATCCTCAAATTGTCCTGCAGGTATCCCTCAAAAGTCCTATATCCATTTAGGCTATAATCCAGGAATTTGCTTAGTGTCCCGGAGAGAGTTTCTTCTGATGAATTGCTCTAGTTTCCAAACAGGGACAATGGCTGAACCATCACCTTTGATGGTCTTAGGAGCAGTAGATGTAGAGGAATGAGCCTGGCTGGTTTTCCCCACCTTGTCACTGCCTCTCTGATCTCTGTCTGGCCTTTGTGGTCACTTGAGCAGTCGTTGTCAGCTGTCCTTGCACGTGGACTCAGTGAGCAGAGCCCCTAATGAATCACAGGGCATCATTAACATGGGAATCATTTTCACCCAGAGGATGCGCAGTGGGAAGTTGTGCGCATTTAAGGTGCTGACTTGGCCCATGGCACACAGGCACGTCATACCAGGTCTCGTCCCACAGCTGTGACCTGTCCCTGCCTCGTGCAGGGATACCCGGGCAAGGGGACCATGAGGATGCCCCTGTGGTTCTGTTTAGTTTTTATGCTGTAGATGATGGGGTTCAGCACGGGAAAGACCGGCAGGTGGATGTTGGCCATGAAGACATGAATGATAGGGCAAGCATGCTGGCCATACTGGGGAACCATGGACAAGCCAACCATGGGGATGTACAGGATCAGGACTGCCAGGATACAGGACAGGCAGTTGTTCAAAGCTTGAGATGTTCCCTCTGGGACGTGATGCTCAGAATGGCCCTAGCAATCAATATATATGACACAAAGATGAGGATGAGGACTAACGTCAGAAAGACACTGGCTAAAGTGAAGCCATACCAGTTACTGAACGTGAAGTCTGCACACACCAGCTTGATCAGGTCCTGATGCAGACAGTAGGTGTGGGAGAGCGCGCGGGACTGGCAGAATGGCAATCCTTTTAATACCACAAATGAGGGGACAGTCAGTAAGGCACATGTGCACAGGGCAGCCTGCCTGATCCTGCCTATCCTGGCACTGGTGAGGATGGAGGAGTATATCTGCAGGTAGCAGATGGCCATGTAACAATCAAAGACCATGGTCAGAAGCACTGAGGACTCCAAGAATGAGGACGAATGAGTTAAAAAAGACTGAGCAAAGCAAATATCAAGACTAACCTGCCTGGCATCAAAAAAGAATACACTCATCACAGCTGGTGTTGTAGACAGAGACAAAGCCAAACTGGTGGTAGCCAGCATGGAGAGGAATTGGTACATGGGCTCATGGAGGCTCGGATCAGTCCTGGTAACAAACAGGATTGTGATGTTTCCCCAGAAGTGGCACAATACAAATGAAAGTGAAGAGAGCCAGATGCTGACAGTTTCCAGCCCTCAGATGCCTGAAGGATAAATGTGACTGGTGTGGACGGTGGACTTCTTGAGAGACATGGTGTACCAGAGATTGCCTGCAGTGAAAAAGAAAAATCAAAGAAATCAAAGTAGTAAGTCTGAGACGACATAGCAAACACATGTAAACATGACAGTTGTGAAGCCAAAGCTGAAAGAACACAGATGTCAAACAGGGACATGGAGCAGACGCCACAAACTTCAGGTCCTGGAGAGCCCAGCAGATGGGTGTACAGTTATCTTAAGGTAAGGTCATATACAGAAGACATCTATAAAGCAGGTCATTTTGGGGTTCTCTTTCTCTGCATCACACGAGCTGCAGCATTGTAATGTAGTTTTCAGGGAGAGTATGCTGCTTATAAAAATAGTTCTGCGCATACTAGAAGAGGAGATTGGAAAATTGTACCTGTGTCATATCACTATTTTACAAAAACCGTAGTTCAGTGATTGGCACTGAAGAGCTCTTGCAGTTTTCTTGCTCTAAGCGTTTAGACAAAGACTGTGATCTGGGCAGTAGGTCTACAGTTGGGTGAGAGAAGTTCCCTTTTACACATTCGTCCAGTGGCACGGAGCAGCCCTTGGAGACCCCGGGGAGCACTGGCAGCACCCGCAGAGCTTCCTACCAGTAGAGCTGACCCTTCCTTCACCCCCCCTGCTTTGGCCAGCACCGGCTGCAGAGCCAGGCAGAGCAACAGGCATCTCTGTGCCCACTGCCCAGGGTGCTGGATAAGGTCCTTTGGCAGAGGGCTCATTGGAGAGTTATTTTCCCCGTACCATGCATCCAGGGCTATGAGAAGAGGGCTCCTTTGGTCAGAGGCCAGCCCCTCCAGCAACCTCTCTGATCAGGAGCCCTACAGACAAATGCCCACATGTAAAGCTGGTGGCATTCCCGGTGTCCAAGATGCCCTTGCAGTGGAAAGGGCACTGCCAGCCAGCTGGCATGCAAGTGCTTACCCGCGGGTTGATGCTCAGGACTGGAAGCCTCTGCTGTGCTGGGGCTCCTCATTTATAGGTCTGCAGGGTCTTGCTGTGCGCTGGGCTCCTCCAAGCCTTGTTCTGCCTCTACTCCCCAGCTCGAGCATCTGGCTTCTCTATGAAACATGCAGAAAGCTTTGTGTGCCCCAAAGCACGGCTTTCTTCTATGAACAGAGGTTGGACTAGACGATCATTGTAGGTCCCTTCCAACTGAAATATTCTATTCTATATTAGGAGAACAAAAAGAGATGTTATGAATTTGTAGCAGACCATCATAGCTAGAGCTACAGCAGTATATTGTCAACTCTACGGGTTACCTTCTCTGTTGGCTGGGGAGCAAAAGGAGTCAAACATCTCCCACTGGCTGATGTGCCCCCTCTTCTTTTCAGCTCTTGCAGTTAGCTCCTGAGACCCAGGAACCACATCCAATGCAGAGTCCTCCTTCCAGGTGATCTTGGCTTGTATGTAACCACAGGGGGGACCTCTCAGGCTGCAGCAATCAGTTACTTACATGCATCCAAAACTCCATAAAAAAGAGAAAAAAACCCAACCGTGCCAGCCAGCTTGGAAGCACCCTGTGACACAGCAAGAGCAGACGGAAAATTGGGGTGATGCTGCTATGCTCTTGGACTGAAGGGAGTCTGGGCTCCTTGTGCCCTGGACCAAGGCACTGGAAATCACAGGCAATTTACCCTACTCAGTATAAGAAATGATGGTCCAAGAAGAGCTGTGTGGAAAAGTGGAGATTCCCAGCCTGAATATGCAGCAGCAGCAACAGGTTGTGACTGGAGCATGAAGTTTGACAGATTGAGCCTTGAATTCCAGAGCTAATTCTTAGCTGTTTCAGGAGCACACTTCCAGAGTCCCTGTCTGAACAGAGGGTGACTTCTCTGTAAGCAAAGGCATTTTGGTCAGGACTGGAAATCTGTCTCCAAGACCAGGTCCCCCTCCAAGAAGATGAGGGGGCACATTGCAAGCTTGAGTTGCCAATACCCCACAGGCTTGGCTATAATCATGCAGAGCAGGCAGGTACCTGAACCCCCTGCAGATGTACAGTCTCCACCTCTCTGACAATGGGAACACCACTGCCAATGACAGCAATTAGCACAAGCGTCCGAAGTGGGGAGAAGCTCCTCCAGGAGTTTGCTCACACAGCCTGTCGACGGTGAGAACGCCAAAAGACAGAACAGCAGGATCCAGAGTGAAGGTGCAGTAGGAAGTGCTCCTTCTTCTAGCCTGATGCTTTCACCATGCAGCTCAGACCATCCCAAAGATCTGCCAGACAAGCAGGGTTTGGAAAGAGAGGAGAGAATCTCTTCCAGCCTCCCTCACCGGTCTGCCAGCACACGGCTGCTTATAATTGCTCTGTGAAAGCCCTGTGGGCAGCCCTGCGTTCCTGTGCCAGCCCTTGGGAATGGGCCAGCCAGGTCATAAACAACAGGCAAGCCAGCAGCAGCCTGCCCGGCCCCTCTTGAGACTCTGCTGCCAACAGCCTGCAGATTGCTGGGTCCACAGAGAGGGGACACAGAGCAGGCAACAGCTCATGAGGCTGCATGGGACACAGGGAGGGCTCCTGCATGTGCTTTCAGGATGGCAGAGCCAGGTCTCCAAGCAATGGTCTGGCTTGGCATGAGCCCAGCCGGGAGCTTGCATCGCCCTCGTTAGCAGCTTCGTGCTGAGCAGAGGGACATGCCGCTACCGCCCTGTGCCACGGGGCCAGCGTGCTCCTGCCACCTCCCCATGCACCTGCAATCCGTGCAACTCATCCTTGCATGGCCCAGACAGACTGGGGAGCTGGCAAAGGAGAGGGCGTGAAAATGGGCTTTTAAATATATTTTTAAAAGGCAATGACTTGTGAAGAGCCTGAATAGGTTTTACTGAAACAGGTGTCAATGCTGGAAAAACATCAGAGATATTGTTAAAAAAGTGTTAATGTGTTAAATATCGCACTCCAAGGCACTGTGGCTTGAGTGGGACGTTGGAGCACAGGCCCCCAGGCCTCCCTTCCCAACCTACATGATTCTTTGATTTTATGATCCTGGTGCCCTGCTCCTGCGAGGAAGGAGGGTCCCTGCTGGAGGGGCTGGCAGGGAACTGCTGGTGAAGGCTTTGCTGCCTGAGCAGACCTGGAGGTATTTACAAGCTCTTCCAAGGAGTTGCTGAAGGGCTGTGGAGTAGGAAGGAGATGCAAGTCCCAGTCCTCTCTGCAGTGTGATTAAGGAGACCCACACCACAGCTGAACCCCTTCCTGACCCCAGTGAGCCCAACCCACACAGTAACATTGCTCAGGATGTTTGCAGAGGGTTTTGGAATTGGTCAGCCCAGCATGCCCATGGTATCCAGCGTGATCCAAATTCACACGTGGTGGCAAAGGAAACATCACCCAGATCTTCCCCTAATTCGTCTTGGTCCTTGAGGATACAGAAAGAAAGCGAATGTTATTCAATGCATGGAGGGGCACCATGTCCCACGTGAAGGGCACCCACCAAGCATACAGCGTGGGACAGAGCCAGAGGAAACCTGGTGGCTGTGAAACTAAAGAAGCAGCCAAACTATTCCATGCACCATTTCACGATAAAGACAGTGAGGCAATGTTGGGCCAGTCTGATGTTTCGAGATATCATGAGCAGTACGAGGTTAGTGCTTCCCCATTGCAGACTCAGCAGTCAGTGTTCAGCATGTAGAGGAAAGGAGCGTATCGAGACTTGGAGATGGAGGTGGTGACTGTTGCAATAGTGAAGGAGCTCAACCTTTGTAAGTTGGGTGGTTTTGCTATTTGTAAAATTCTCTTCAGTTCTCTCCATTTCTGGCCTTCAGGAGATTTTCTTTAAAAACTGTATAATTTGAATAATGAGTGAACAGTGATATTTAGCATGCTAGGACTAATGCATGAATGATTGAAGTCATAAAGTCTATCACAAGAAACAATCAAATACAGAGACTAGCACAGGTGAAATGTTTGACCTTTTAGCTCAACTCAGGGCTGAGCAGGTGAACTTAGACTGTAATAAGAGATGGACAGCTGGTCTAATCAGCCTCTTCACATATGCCTTTTTCTAGAAAAACTTCATAAACCAAAACCTTTCCGTAGTACACAATGAATGATCCCAGCTCAAGTAATAACATTAATTTGTTGCCTCTGCTCACCAGACACAACAAATCACTATAGCCCAACCATGATAACTCAAGAAGTCACCATCCAAAATATCCCCAGTGCAAGGAAATGCTAAAGCAATGACAGAGACAAGCTGCCTCTAGCCTGGAGTCACCTCATCCCCTCAACTCCTCCCTCAGTCAGATGTTGCTGTATCTGTCTCAGGCAGAGCTGCCTCAGAGGCAGATCCTATGGATCTGTTTAGGTAGATGATGGGGTTCAGCATGGGGAGGACCAGCAGGTAGATGTTGGCCATGAAGACATGAATGAGAGGGGAAGCATGCTTGCCATGCTGGTGAATGATGGACAAGACAACCAGGATCAGGACTGCCAGGATACAGGACAGGCAGTTGTTCAAATCTTTGAGATGCTCCCTCTGGGATGTGGTGCTCAGAATGGCCCTAGCAATATATGGCATGAAAATGAGGATGAGGTCAAAAGTCAGAAAGAGAACAGCTACAGCAAAGCCACACCAGTTACCGAATGCAGTGTCTATAAACAGCAGCTTGATCAGGCACCGATGCAGACGGTACTGATAACCTTAATCCCAGAAGTGGAAGAGTGCTTGATGAGACACCTGGACCAGTCCAGGACACCAGCCTTATCCTGCCTATCCCAGCACTGGTGAGCATGGCAGAGTATCTCAGCAGGTAGTAGATGGCCACATAACAATCAAAGGTCATGGCTGGAAGCACAGAGGACTCCATGAAGGCGGAAGAATGAATTAAACACGATTGAGCAAACCAAGTATCAAAACTACCATGCCTAGCATCAAAACACAAACCCCTCGTTACTGTTGGTATTTTAGAGACAAACCCAAACTGGTGATGCTGACACAGATAGGAATTGATACAGGGGCTCACAGAGGCTTAAGTCAGTCCTGGTGACAGTGCTATGCAGCTCCCCACAAGTGACAGAAGATAAGCAGAAGAAAATGGGATAGAGAGCAACCTGCAACCATCTTCCATCCCAGCAATGGAGTCA